CGAGCGGCCACGTGGTGCCCGGCTCCTACCTGAACCACCGCAGGGCTAGAGCAGGTTTCCAGGTTTCAGTTTGTGATCCTAGGATTGCATATCCTGTGCTTGCAGGTTATCCCTTGGAACCTGAGAACGAGGAACATGTGCTGGTCAATAACAAGTGTCAGTGTGTAACGGTGACCTCAAAGTTTGTCCCCTCCAAAGAAAATCCTGAGGAAGAAATCCTGGAAAGAAACATCCGCATCCTGTAAGTATTGCAACAAGACAGGTATGACCTGGCTATGGTGAGCAGGAGGTGACAGTGGTGTTGGAGTTCCCTTTTCTTGGCATTGTTTCCCATGTCCTGGCTTTGCTGATGTGACCCATCTTTCCTTGTGGGCTGCTTTCTATGGTATCCTGTAATTTTTCCTTTTCTTTGTGTTTTTCTAGCTCACATGAGGCCATGTGGTGTTTTTTGCTTCAGCTACAAAAAGCTTTCCTGTGTTTAAGCAGTCCAAGGTCTGCCATTCACAGGCTTTGCTATGGAGAAGAGTCAGAATGGAAAGAACACCGTGACAGTTGGGAACTGTTCACAGCAGAACACTGTTCCCTGGTTTAATATGCAGTTTTCATGAAAACAGTTCTCTTCCCTCCTTTGCAGAGTGCCCCTGAAGGCTCGAGAGAACATCTCTGACCCCATGTCCCCGCTCAGAACCACTTTTGTCTACCGCATGACTGAGCTGTAAGTAAATTTATTAAGTCCTAAGACTTAAACTCCCCTGTAGCATTGCCCACAGCAGGTCAGAAACAGTCTTGGAGGCCAGTAGAGAAGGTGAGGCAGGGTTACAGAGGGAAGTTTTAGTCACAGACCCTAGCTTTCATACCCAGTTGCAAGCAAGAAATTGATTAATTCACAAAAAAGAGTTTCACATTTACAGGGAATGTTTCATTCTGACACCTGCTCATCTCAAATGTTTTAAATATCAGCACATGGCACAGTGCCTGTTTAACCCTCCCTGTGGGGACCCATATTGCCAATAGCAGACAACGTGAAAAGCACCTGGCTGGGAGTTCCTGTGTGAAACCTTGAGAGGTCACAGTACTTTCCAAACTACGTCTGTGGCTCAGCAAGGAAGACTTGGGTTCCACCAGAGACATCTTTTCATCACAACCCTTAACACTTTTTCTGTTGTCCATCTCTTCCAGCTGCAAAAAATGCGATCCTGTAGAGATTGAGCTGGGTGGTGAGACATACCAGGCCCAGCAGAGCACCTCCTGCGACGAACCTGAAACCTGCTACACCTACAACCGGGACAAGTGCTACACCTCGACCTTCCCCTTCCGCTACCAGGGCGAGATCAGAAGAGTCCAAGCGGTTCTGACGCCGGCATCGTGCTTCGCAGATTAGCTCAATCCACTGCTGCACTGAGGCCTCCCCACACTCAGGGTTCCTATCCAGAATACATGTATAGCACCATGGTACCTGGACAACAGTGTCCCACTACCAGCTCCCAGAGTAATGCCAGCTTGCTTCTCCATATTGTTTTCAGCATCAGACTAGTGCCACCTCCCAAGAGCAGCTACTGGTTGTCACCAACTCCATTCTTATATGCCTGGCACATCACTGCAATGTCATTAGAGGTCTCAGATGCTACTACCATACAGACCAGATCCTGAGCAGGAAATACACCAGTTTACATCACTGGAGAAGCTGTCCTTTTGACAGCCTTCCATCAGTCTTCATCAAAGGAAGGCCGCCATGGACATCAGCAGGAATGTCCTTGTCCTTCCCTCCCCAGACCAGCTACAGCAAACCTCTGCACAACCTTCTTAGAAGACACTTTGATCACATCAGAATTTGTGCCATCATTAGAAGGCTGTTTGAGAGAAAAGATGAGGGATGAGACCAAGAATTCAGATTTGAAGGTTACTTTGCAATTGGGCATTCTAGATGCTTCTCACTCTTTGGCAATTGCAGGCTTCTAGCTTTCACAGGCATTTACGAGAAGATCCGAAGCTGTCGCTCCCCTGAAGTGTTTTGCAGATTTGCCAAGATTTCAGCTGGGCCAGGAATAGTAAGCTCCTCCAGGACATGTTGGGTATTGCACTTTTCCATGCTTCTGTACTGATACTACCTCTTTTCACCCCTGCTCCCAGAGAAATTGATAAAAAAAAAAAAAAAAAGTTGGCTCAAATGTATATTTCCATTTATCATTGCGCATTTCAAGCTTCAGGAAATTCTCTGAAGGTGACAATTGCTAGAGCAGGACCCTTGTGAGGCATCCATTCCTTCTTTCACACAAGTAGTCTGTCTTCAACCAAGAAACCCTCACCAAATAAAGGAGCTGTATTTCACCTTACATTTAAATGCACAACACTCTGTTGCCCACAGGGACATCACATGTAGGAGTGCACGAGTTGTCCAACATTACCTTTGGGATGCCTGGTATGTGTCTCACTGTTGTCAGAAATTGTTAGTAAAGCCTTAGGCTCTTCTGAAAAATCTTTTTCTGGCTTCACACTTAATTGGAATGATCAAGTGGCAAAAATTTTGTTACCATAATTGTAGCTTTGTTAGTGAAACATTCAATAAACTTTTTTTCTGCAGCAGTCTGTGTGTTATATTCCAGTTCAATAAGAAATCAAAAGGAAAAGCCAGGTCCATAATTATATTCTTTCTTCCTTCACAGTGAATGAGCTCACCCCAAATGACTGCTTATACTTCACAAGCAAAGCCTCCTGAAATACCAGGAGAGAAATATTGTGATGCACTTGCAGAAACTATATGGCAGATTGAGGCTGAGATGGTTTATGATTTTAGGATCAGCCCCACATCACTGAGCTGCTTCAAGGCCCTGCGAATCTGTGCAGGATCAGAGTTTAAAACACCAAACATCACCTAAATCACTCCTGGAATTGCAATTCACAGATCAAAATTTTACCTTGCTATGTAAAGAAGTGCCTGTAAGACAGGTATGTCAGGGGCTAGTCCTTCATATGCAATGGGTCCATCCTAAAGAAAAAACTATATTGTGTGTTATGAATTTCGCAGAGCAAAAGAGTAAAAATGACTGAGACAAATTATTCTAATATTGCATTAGATTCATGGAAAATGAACTCAGAAATTGTTTTTTTCTGCCCCTCCTTCATGAAAAAAAAAGATGCCAAGGGAGGCAGAGACTCCTGCCATGTCTGCTGGTGAGAGGCATTTGGGGAAAAGGAAATCAAAGCACAGAGGTTTCCAAGCAGCTGTGAACAAATTCCTGCTTAGACCATCTTGGGTAGAACAAACAGCCACTGGAAAGCAAAAAAAAGTGTTCTGCAAACTCCCCCTGTGCTCTTCAGCTTTATAATAAAGCAGGATTCATTCCCTCCATCTTTCCTGAGAGGGAGAAGCCCACACTGACAGTTGTGTTGCTGGATTGTGTTAGCCAGGTTTTCAGTGACAACTCAAAGCAACACAACAAGTTAAATGAGGCTCTAAATCCTCTCCTGAAAGATAAGGGAGTAAAGTAGGAGCGAGATCCACTTATCTCCCATTACTCTTCAGGACATACTGGTTTTAACCTTTAGAAAGTGATCTGCAAAAAATATACTCCCTTCAAATGACTCAGGAAGGTGATATATCTGTGCTGCAAGCAAAGGAATGCCCCTGCTTGCAGAGCTCGGCCTGGAAATCCTCTGGGGCCATCTAGACTGCTTTCCATCCAGAGTCAACCAGGATTTACTTGTCCTACCAGAGCTGCAAAATAGCAAGCATTTATCAAGGCTGTTACTCTAACATCACCCTAGTTTGTTGGTTAACAAGACACAGTTAAAATGTCTCAGTCTGCAAATAATTTACAAGTCTGTAAGCAATCCAGAAATAAATATTTATGATGGGGTTTGACACTTATTTTTTTCTTAAAGGAAAAGAGCCTTGACCCTCTTAATTACAAAATGCAAGAACTCAGTCTAGGAAGACAAATCCTCAGCTACTGAACCTCCTGATGAAACAAAGACAGGGACTGACTGCATCAAGGGAAGCATTTTTTTTTCTTTTTTTTACACTTGCTGCAGCCCAGTAGACAAGTGCTTTTCCCAGATCCATCTACGGGCTCACAGTCCTGCTCCTGACAAGAAAAGCCACACAGTTTAAGAGCTAGTTTGAAGCAAAAGCACCAGAAGAAGCATTTGGTACGCAGCCCACCACTGACCCAGGACACCTGCTAAGGCAAAATGTAGGGCTGGGCAAACCAAACTGTCAGCCCATAATCACATGAAATTTGATTCCATCTGTGAACACTGCTCAGTTCACTAAAATAAGTTATTAGTTAGGAGTAATCCGTAGACAAATAACTTAGTGCCCTAAGACTAACCTAAATAACATCTTTCCTTCTTTGCTTTTGTTTCTAACGGAGTCTAATTTTCTGATTTGCCACAAGAACAAAAATGACTGTTTGATGTTGAAGCTTTTTGGGGTTTAAGTTTGTTTGGGTTTGCTTTTTTCAGGGCATACTTAACCCATACACCAACTCTGCACTGAACTGTTAAAAAAATATTATAAGAAAAGTTTTTACAAAAAGCTTTTAAAATATTTTTCCATAGTTCAAAAGAATGAAAGAAACCCCAAATTTGTTTTCCATACTCCTAACATCAACTAACTACATTCATATTATAGCTTATTAAAGCTTTCAATTAAAAAAAAATAATTCTTCATTGTGTATTAAATAGAAACCACAAAAAAACTTTAGCTCAGTCCTCAGAAGAAAAAGCTAAAGAAATACATACACAACTCACAAAACAACTCAAAGTAAAGGCAACAATATAACTCCTTAGCCTCTATTGCTAATACATGCTTCTTGCAGCAGAATTATTTATTTAGTATTTTATTGAAATAATCCAACTTACAGTGAATGTGACACACTCCACATCTTCTTTCCCCAAACCCATAAAAACTGCCCTTTTTTTCCTTTAAGACACCCTTAGTTCTACCAAGAAAGCCAACCCCCTTTCCCTCCCCAACAAAAAAAAACCCAAAAAAACCCAAACCAAAACCAAAACAAAACAAACAAACAAACAAACAAACAAACAAACAAACAAACACAAACAAAAAAAGAGGTCATTCCCCTGTGAATTTAAGCATTTCTGGCTCGATTAGCTCATGGAAATCAGACCAATGAGCATGGAGGAAGGAAAGGGGTTAGGGTATAAAAGCTCACACTGGGGGCTTCTCTCTAGCACTGCTTTTTTCCACCCTATGGAGCAATGAGAGAAGTAGTAGGAATGTTTGGCTTGTTTCTATAGGAATAAGCTTCTTAAATTTACGTTGGGTTGGGGTAGGTTTGTTTGTTCTTCTGGCTGAAAGCTCAGGTAGCTGTTTGGAAAACATTTTTCATGCTTGTTTTATCTTTTTAATAAGCTTATGTTTTTCAAATAAAGAATTGCAGGCCTTTGTTTTTAGTCTAGGTTATAATATTCTTAGCATTGCTATAATTAAATCATAAAGTAAATATTTCTAACTAAAGCAGGCTATTTAAAGTAATAACATGATTTGTGGTTCTGTAGTATAGATACATCTGGGTATTAAAACTGGTATAGAGTGTAAGTATGTATTAGGGAATACATTAACAGATTTTTTTTTAGAAAACTGCAGAAAAAAGTTTGGTCAATATAAATGAGATTTTTTTCTTTTTTCCTGCTCAGTGATTTTGGTTTTTACTGTAATTAAAGATAACGGAAATTACTTTAATGTTTGTAGCATTGACTTGTATTTAGCTATGATTGTTTACAGAAGCTGATCTTTGTTTGGAGAAAGACCCATAAATAAAGGATAATAATTCACTAGTGAGTCTGAAATTGTGATTTCATATAACAATTTCTTGTGTAAGCAGTTGGAACAGGCTGCCCAGAGAGGTTGTGGAGTCTCCTTCACTGGAGACATTCAAAACCCGCCTGGACGCCTTCCTGTGTGATGTACTCTAGGTGGTCCTGCTCTGGCAGGGGGGTTGGACTAGATGATCTTTTGAGGTCCCTTCCAACCCCTATGATTCTATGATTAATGAGGTGGCTTCCTTCTAACCCTCATTTATTGGCTGTTACTAGTTTCTCACATGTTATTTATGACCAGAATGTTTGGCCAGTCCATAGGGGTAAATAGGTGCAATTCATTTTTAGAAAGACACAGGAATATAAAGCTAGGGTGGATTCCTTTAAAAAATAGCTTCATAAAGTAGCTACGATAGGAAATTGCAACTTATTTTTAAAAGTACTATGTTAGCTACATTAATTTTTCGTATTCAAGCATGAGGTAAAAAGGTGTGGTACCTGCTTTATCAGCCATGAATATGGAGCAACATCTGCATTTGAAGTAGTTTTTATATTGAGTTTTTTTTGGGTAAGCTTTACTTCTAGGGAGGGGAGTGCCTT